TGTTATGATCTGAGATGAAGGGGAAGTAGCATACTTACTTGCACTTGGGGGCTTGAGCTTTTCTTTTAGTGATCTATATTATAGAACCAATATCAATACAAATAATCCTTATTTTGACACTTTCACAATATACATGCCAGTGATATGTGACTTAGGTCACAAGGTCTAGTCCCGGTATTGCATCCTGAAAATTTAGAAGTACTCGATCACATTCTGAGAATAGCTGCTGCATCTAGTTGTACCCTAAGAATTTAGAGTGTGCTTGTTTGCACCCTAAGAATTTAGAGTGTGCTCAGTTGCATTGAGAGAATTTCCTACATACTCAGTTGCATCCCAACTTTGATGCCAAGGACCATTACGCCCTGAGTTGCAGTTTGCGTCCTGTGCATTCTGTGTGTCTGATGCATAGGATGTACAGGATGCAAGCTTTTATTTTTGCTGATATAGCAAGTTGTTATTTAGCCAATTATGAACCAGTTTTTAGATGACTCCGGTCTATATGAGTATAAGGGGTTTGTGTATTACTTCTCATTTCTGTGAGAGTAATGGCACATAGACTTATAGAGGTTGTAGCTTCATAACTAATCGACCAATCTGAACTAGCTAAGTCTTATCTTATAGAGGGGAGCTCCTTCTATATTATCCAGCAAAAATCTCTTGGTTGCATACCTTATACCCCTACAGAGTGGGCTATATAAGTGCCTTATTATTTCATACAATAATATGATATCATTATGGTAACTACAGTGGGGCCCTAAGTTGAACACGTAACCTTATACATTTAGTCACAACGTACCATACTGATTACACTTCTATGTGTAACAGCTCTTCTTTAAGACAATATTGACCTACTTCTTAGCCTTTCTAACTACTTACATACTACATGGATCAACTACCCTCCTACTTCAAGTTGTACCAGGGACTTAGGCTTGCTACCTCTCCGTCCATTATTTCTACTGCCTCCAGCTATGACTTTTAGGTTCCCTTGTTTACTTACTAGAGAGGAAGGATAGCTTAAACATTATTTTATTTTTCTTGTTTAGAAACTATAGGTTTTTGGTAGGGTTGTTTTCTGATATATGAAGGCTTAGGTTAGTATGGTTGCTGAACTAGATTTTTATTTTTCCTACTTGGTTAGTCATGTTTGTATATGTATCATATATTTTAGGCAGTTACCTGTTCTTTTAGGATTGAGGATTTGGCTAGTTAGATAGTTTTGGTACTTTCCTTTATTGTTATTTTGATTTGAAAGGGTTCTCTTTACACCATGGCTTAGTTACTACATATGAGTTCTTTCCAGTATCTCCTAAAAAAGAATATATGAGTTAATTAAAAATTAAAAAAATCCTACCTGTTAATAGAGCACACAAGCTTGGATTTATCTTACTAGTTTTAAAAATATTTATCTTATTAAGTCTACTATACTTATCACCGTACAAGTAACTTAGAGGAAAAATTGAGCAGAATTCAATATAGTACTTGCTATAAGCCCACCCAACAGATGAGGTTCCAAAGCCTATAGATGTTAAAGGACTTATGGAGGAACCATAAGCTTTTTTTTATATAAAAAAAAATGTATACTACAGAATTAGCTTTTAAGAGAAAGTATTACTAGTTTACATACCTACACTCCCCATAAACTTGCAATTGGTTTACTATTATTCCTTTATGATATTTACTTTCTCTAAATGCTCTATCATCTTTAAAAAATTAAATATTATCCTAAAGTGGTAGTAGTATGGCCAGCCATATCATAATTTGTGGATATGATCTACCTCCTTAATTGGTACTATTAGGGGTTATGTTCATAGTAGGGCATGATAGAAGAGTTTGGTTTAGCAATATTTTTACCCTAGCCTATAAGGCACCACAAGCTGGGTCAGGGTTGAGTGAGCCTGGCCCACATTTTGGTGGGCTGCCACGTGCTCTGCTGGGCCTAGATCATGGAAAGCACTGGTTCGGTCAGTGATGGCTGCAAGATCTTGATTATTCGCGGGTAGATTAGATGAGAATCCATCGGCCCGTTGCTCTTTCTACCAGCAGTTTAGCAGACATCAGTTAGGGCTTGGTTTGGTGCGCTCGCGCTCACTGCAGAGACCCAGGGATTCTGATTGCCCCCGAGATCGTAATAATATTATTATAACTTGGCTCTTAGTCGACACTTGGTGTCTATATATCTCGTTCCGGAAAGTCTGTCAGATCACTGGCCCATTTCAGAGCCCAAGTAACGTTTGGATTTATTGAAATTTGCTTTAAAGGGAAAAAAATATCCTTCTTCCCCTCTTTTCCCCTTTCATATTTTCTCAGTCCCAAAATTTTAACTTAGATCAATCCCTACTGTCTACCATCCCTGGGGAAGTCCTCCTCCTGGCCCACAACCTCCTCCCTACCTCAGCGCCTGATGCCCCAACCCAACACTATAACGGGGGTGACCAGAATTTCTTAGCCCCCGTACGTTGCGCAGAAATTTAAGGGGGATTTAAATTTCAACGAATGTAAATTTATCTACTAGGCTTTTTCACAGAATATCATATCACGCAAGGCAGTGATACTTGTCCCCCTGTTCAGTGCGCTTTTCTTTTCTTTAAATTGGTTTTTATAGAGAAACAAATGACCTGAAGTGCTGCGACGCACAAAACCGGATGTACTCGTACAGGCTCCCGGGCATTCTAGGAGTTATCATACCTAAAGTAGAAATTATACTGTAACCTAGGGCCAGAGGTGACTTTCATCTACAATAGCTTATCATAATTCACAGCCCGCCCAGCTTAGCCCGCCACCCTTCTCCCCCCCACTGGCTATCCAAATCACTGATACCGAACCTCATTCGCACCCCATAAATTTCCTACCTCCCCCACCTCTTCTCCTTCATCCTCTTCTTCGCCCTCGCTCCTCCGCCTACCTCCGGAAGAAGAAGAAAAATCTTCTCTCCTGTTGAAGTCAACTTTCCATCAAAGGTTTTTATTCCCTGAGAGCAAATAAAAAACTAAAATAAACTTGGAAACTTCCCTTTGTCGCCTTACACTCACGTTATCCAGTATCTTGATTGTCGCTAACAGAGTCCTTGCGAATTAGGGGAACCAATGAGTTCTAGAAAGCGTTCAGTCTTTAATGATAAAGACGATAACCTCAGTACACACGATGGCGACTCTACCTCCGTGCCATATGCCGGGCCTTCGAGTAGATTGAGAAATAGGCCAAGTCTTCAGCGCGCAGATCCAGCCACCAGTCGCAAGGAAGTCGGCGGTGCACCTACTCCAGAGCCAGCTAGGAAGCAGGATTTTGAAGTGGTTGTTTGGAACCCCCCTCCAATGCCGACTCCTGTCGATATTCAACGGAAGCGGAAAAATTCCTACGCCGAAACAGTGATCGATAGGTGGCCTGTTGCGGAGGCCCGTGAAGCGGTAGAGAAGGAAATTGCTCTTCACAAGCGTGGGTTGCATACGGGAGAGGACAGTAGTGCGTGGGAGAAAGAGGTTGTTTCCATGATGAAGTGGGCAAATAGGCATATGAAGGAAGGCTACTTGGCTTTTGTTCAGAGAGTTTCATCAGCTCCCCCCCCTGCACAATCTGCCAACCGCTCACGGCCTCACGATAAAGGAAAATCCGCAGATACCAGGCTTCATGATTCGTCATGCCACTTCCCCCCCTGTCGGAGGGTCTTTCATGATGGCCAATACAGGATCTCATTCGAGCCTTCCTCATATAAAGGAACCCTCACCATTTCAGGAAGTTCTATCGACTTGACCCGCGACGACTCCGAAGAAGAGAGGAGCCGCAATTCTAATCCTCGTGACAATGAAAACCCCACTTTCTTTTGTCTCGAGTGTTTCGATAAGCTCCTGATGCCTTATTTTGCACAGGGCAGTGCTGAGCCTACCGATCCATTTTCCCGAAAACTTGTGAAGAACAGGATTTTTCACAAACCTAAGCCGGGGTATCTTCGACCAAGTCCGTCTTGCCGGATATACGACAGAATTCAACCAGAGACAAGGCCGGGAGCCTATAGACCCTTTGTTTTATTGTCCAAGGAGCAAGAGGCTATCGGAACCTGGAAGGCATACAATTATAACCATGGACTCGCAAAGCTGAGCGGCAAGAATGGTTTTATGTTTACTGTAGGGCTTTCTTTCGAACAGCTAAAATGCAAGGTCAATGGTTTGGCTGGGGTTGGTATTGCCGAATTCATGGCCGTTCACTTCCCTAAGAATTCGGTTCCTCCTACTGAATGAAAAAAAAAAAAAAAAAAAAAGTAGTTAGAAAAAGGGTCACCGGGAGTTGGGCCACGGACAATTGTCCATATCGACTACCGTACGTACTACCCAAGATTTGCTACCCTGACTCACCAACCAGTGGCTAACTTATCAAAGTCCTAGAGCTCTTTATTTTTGTTTTTCTTGGGAGACACCATCAGCCAAAATCTGAGCAACGGAAAATCTGATAAGTATAACCAAAACGGGACCCCGAGCTACTATTCACTTAGTCAACCCTCAAACAGATAGCATCAACCTTTATCAATAAAACACAGAATCTAGTCCAACTCAACTCTGTTTCATACCTTCACTTGTACAGCTTCTTCTGGCTTTGACCAAAAATAGAGTTATCTCGTTCTTCTCGGCTTCGAATCAGGCAGCGCCCGCCAACGATCCCAGATCCCCTACTCCCTAATTAATTAAACCCTTTCCTGTTCGCGCTATGATACCGGCCGCACTTGCATATGTCGTCGGAGTGCATTAACCAATGACCTGCACCTCCATAGTGATTAGCGCAATTGCCAAAAACAAGGTTACCAGTGATGGAACGGCAAGCTTTCCTTTATGTCGTGCGTATCCTTGCCTAGTTTGCACCAATCTCTTTGGCTGGGCTAGTTTGCAGTGGTCAAATGTGAAGACATATGTATTCTCGAATATCCCCTCCCGATGTCCCTTCCCCTCCAACCAGCACTCGCCCGACGAAAAGTATCATAGAGAACTCAGAATAACTGAGATACACCTACAATCATGCGCTCCTCCAATCACCCCTTCCTTCTCCTTCTGCTCGGGGCATCAGCAGCCCTTGCAGGATCCAACAAGACTCAAACCCTACCCAGCACCAGTTCTCCCTCTCCTTCACCCCCCTCTCCCCTCACCCGTAACATAAAAATCACAAACAACTGCCCAGTGGGCCTCTACCCAGCCATCATCGGCTCAGATGGAACACCTCTCAACGAAACAGGGTTCCACCTTGCTAGAAACGGCACCCGCACAGTTGTCGTTCCCTCATCCTGGTCCGGGCGAGTATGGGCTCGGACAAACTGCACATTCGGCGGCGACGGCCGCGGCCACTGCAGCACGGGGGATTGCGACAAGAAGTTAATCTGCGGCACCACGAGCGGCGAAAAGCCACACACGATCGCGGAGTTCACAATGATGGGATACAAGAATGCGACGTATTACGACATCAGCACTGTGGACGGATACAACGTCGATATGGCAATTATTCCCGAAGAACCTGCGGGGGCCATCCTATCTTGTTCATTTAGACCCCTTCCACTCCGCCAACCATTCGCCCCTTAGCCGCGCTAATGTCGATGCGAATACAGGTGTATCGAGGCCCGAAAACGGCGCTCCGCACTGGTGCCCCGACGAACTCCTGCTCACCCCTCCGAAGGAAAATTCAAAATCATTCCTCCATCCCGGTGACGACATTCCGAGGGGGTACTTCAGCCCCTGCCACAGCGCGTGCTCAAAATGGGGTCGAGATCAGGACTGCTGCGCCGGCGAATACGACAGCCCGAAGAAGTGCAAGCCGGGACTCTACTCGAAACGCATCAAGAATGTGTGTCCCGACGTGTACAGCTTCGCCTACGACGATAGCTTATCCACATTCACGTTGCCGAGCGGGCCCGGCTTTGAGATCATGTTTTGCCCGGACGGGGAGAGCTCCATTTCGAATAAGAGAAAGGTGAAGAAATCCACGGGTCCGGAGGAAGCCGCGAACGATACAGCGGATCCCCACCGCTTCCAGCCAAGGTCGGGCGCAGAGAGATCGAGGGGTCCATGGGGCTACCCGATCCTGCTATCCCTACCGCTTCTGACATTTCTTATTGCACTCTTCCCTTAAGATGGGGTTCGGAGGGAGAGCATTCTGTAACCTTAGGCAGCTGGGCTCATCGGTGTCGCTTTCTGAGGCGCAGAGTTTGATTTCTTCCAAGTCTTGTTTAACCGGGTGCTTAAACCCTACTATATCAGGTACCGTTTGTACAAATAAATACGTGGCCTATACGAGTAGTCTAGTTCATGGCAGCTCGGGTGTACAAGTGTTGCAGAGGGAGGGTGGTTAGCGTGACGGGGTCACAGTTGTTTTTCAAGGCCTCATTTTAGCGAACCGCTAGTTTCCCTAAATATAATAAGCCCCGGGCAACCACCATTGCTACTGATGGTTAGTGAGATTGAGCACGATTACGATAATAGCAGTCGTCGTGGAGAATAGAAACAACACAAGTACAAGTACTCGAGTAGAAAAAATAGAGGAAACGTGGGAGTAATGGAGGCACCATGCTGAGAGAGGATAAACAACCGTGACCCCGTCACGCTAACCCCCCTCTCTCCACAACACTTGTACACCCGAGCTGGCATGTACCGCACTTGTAGTCTAACCAAGACTCCAGTCCTACCTATAGATACCATACCACCCTTGTACAAAGAATGGTTACGCCACGGCGCCTCCAGCGAGATCACAATACGAGTACAAAGATCCAAAGCCAAGAAAGAGATTATGCCGTTCTCTATCCTTTCGCGTTTGAATGCATCGTGCTTTCAGTACCATTGCATCGCCCTAGCATCGCGCTCCCACCCCGAAAAGACGGTTATACGAGAGGGGGAAAAAAAAAATTCCCCCACAGTCCAATTCACCGCTTACCCTAGGGGTACCAGTGTCGTTCCATTTAAAGCTCCCTAGCTAACGGGTACGATAGTGTGCTGAGGTCATTCTCATGGATTTAGAATACGTTGTATCATAAGTTACTCAAGGACTGTCGGTCATGGCTTCGCACTCGGATACTTTTCCGAGGGCACAGAGAGAGCCCTTATCCCATCTGGGGAGGATTGAGTGCCAAGGTATGATATGATACCACACGGCAAGTGCGAGGAAAGCTCAGGATATCTTGGAGAACTGGAGGCGGCGGTCCGCAAAATGCTCCTCTGGTTTAGTGATACTCTCTACTCGTGCAACACCTAGTCTATCACCCAAAACCTGAGTTACCGGGTGGAGAGAAGTTCGAGCAGTCCGCGAATCATGAGGCTGCTGCGGTATTCTGCCGTTACCCGGCCTTCAAATGTGAACATTACCGGCATCATGCTCAATTCCACGGCTAAATTTAAAGCTGCCGGTCGAGCACAGCCCGAATTCCTGCGTGAACCCGCCAAGTTCGAATGGTAACAAGCGAGAACCCAGCGGCACCTCCCATCCTTTCCGCTTTTCGTTTCCGCAGAACAAGCAGCGGCGCGCATTCATCCATTCTCCTCTCTCCCGGTTTCCCCCCCCTCCCTCCAGGGGGCACATAACACAGCATAACCGGCAAATCGCGCGTGATACCGTATCAGAGCTACCCGACCGACAGGCCTACGGCCAGCCCCCCCCCCCCCTTCAACCCAGCAACCCACCCACTCCCTGTTACCGGTAAACCTCAATTTTTCACCTGTTCCACAACAGAAGTTGTAGAATGCTGAGTAACACCTCAGCGAATGCGCTAACCTCATCATCATCATAACCCTATCGCATCACACTAGATCGCAATACATACACGCGCCCACGGAGGACGCGACGATAACACTCCGATAAGAAGGAAAAGTGTTTTTGAAAGGATGGACCCGTCGGCCAGCGCGAGTGGCACTCCGCCAAAGGACCTGCCTCCTATCGCGGCATTGTTTGTGATTTATTTCGATATCAAGGCTGGGTGAGTGGGTTTGGGAGGAAAGGAGAAACGGAGAATGGGGGGAAAAAAAAGAAGAAAAGAAAAGCTAATTATGGGGTGCGATAGATATACTATCGTCTGGAAGAAATGTACGCAGGGAGTCTCGCTTGACGGGGTGGAATTCAAATCACTGCCAAGCGGGCTACATAATTTGGAGGAGGATTTAGTGTTTGTCTCCCTTCCCCCGGAAGCGAGATGGATGAGATGGGGAGAGAGCACTGATCGGGTGGGTGGGAATTAGGTATTTCGTTCAAGCACCCTACGCAGGTGTCAGTGCCTTCATCAATACCCCCGCGGCGGAGGCGGAGCGGAATGCCTGTATGCTTTCCGTCGGCGTGCTTGTTCCACTTAGCTACGGACGGCTAGGGAGGAGCTGGAGACATGCGGAGAATCTGAAGGAGTTGGCAAAGTACGATATCCCCTCGTCTGGATTCTCATCCCCCTCACGATGGTGGCACTAACTGTAGTCCAGGAAATTCGCTGCAAACACGGAAGACTATGCTCCGTTAGAAAGATATTACGAATCGAATAAGATCCATGAATCTGTAGAAGCTCCTGACTCGCCGGCGGAGTCACCGTCAAGCTTGAGGTATCGGCCTTCCTCGAGGTACAAGCCTCCGTTCGATAGTCTGAATCGTCATACCCGGACAAGGTCCATATCGGATACTACGGCTCTTGTGGCCTCCGGGCAGGCACTGAGTCCATACCACCCTGCTTTGTCACTGCCGGAGTTTGTGGATACGTTTGGGCCATTGATTTTCCCGCTTTATAGAGCTGCATTGACTCGACAGCGGATATTGCTCATTACTGGTGCACCAGTTGAGTTGGCTTGCAACTTTGGTTCGTTTCATCCCAAGACTCTTGAGCACACCTTGCTAACGAGACGATAGTCTACGATATATCAATCCTCTCCAACATCCCCCTCTCTGTCGCCGATCTCCTTTCCTCTGAACCCTCCCGCCTTCGCCCACTCTTCAGCATTGGGGTCCACGACATCCCGTTGCTAGAAGAAGAAGCCAAGCGAGCACACCCAGCACCCCCACCCCCGCATGACCGCGACCCTCTCGGAGGTGAGCACGGTAGCTGGGTAGCCTGCACAACCGACGGCGTCTTATACCTAAAGAGTGAACTCTACGACTTGGTAGTCTCCATGCCCCCAGCTCACTCCAAAAACGCCAAGAAAAAAGTTTGGCCTACAATCGAGTGTCCCGCTGGCACTCCTATAAAAGCCACACAGCGAGACCTGGCCAGATACAGAGCACTGAAAAGGTCACTCGCCCGCTACAATGACACACCCCCATCCACGGAGCCCTCATCCTCGACGGAAGAAGAAGACCGCGACTCCTGCGAGGAAGTCTGCCAAAAGCCCACCTGGCGTGAAATCGCTTACTCATCATTCATGTGGTGGGCTAGCGCTGGTGAAAAGCGGCGCGAGACCGAGACCGCTGCGTCCGACGAGCTCTTTTTCGAAGACGGCAAACGGCCCAGAAGTGAAGCCCTCGACGACGCCGTCGCCAACGACGAGGAAATTCACCCGCTCCTGCCCACGTCCCCACGTCGGAGCAATTCCTCGCCGTTGCCGAGATTGCACCACCGACGGAGGTCGAGCGCTTTCAGCGTTGGCGGTGCTAGTGGCGGTGTAGGGAATATGGAGATGGATATTGTCGCGTACTTTCATCGACTCACAGGGCGGCTGATGTCGTATCTGGCTGAGATTGTGGACGACGGGGATGACGATGGTGGTGTTGGTGGGGATGGAGAAGCCAGGGATGGGGAAGGGGTGTTTATCGGTCTTGAGGACTTGGACAAGTTGGGGTTGGATCGATACAGTGAGCTTGACGTCGCCTTTGTGAAGAATATCTGCTTGAGGTATTTTGGCCGGGAGGCGGTGGTGGAAGGGGTTGCGTGGGAGTGCTGTGGGATTAGGTATTGCTAGGCAAACTAGGGGAATCTCTTTCTTCCTTCTCTTTCCTCTCCTTTCTTTCGCGGTCTAGTCGAACCGGCACGTGTACTTTATGGCATAGTATTTTATTTGTAGATGGAATCGATTAATGGGTGTCATCTCTTCTCCCCCACTCTTCTCACTCTTTCCTCTCTTCCTCCAATAGCAAACGGAGTCCTCATCGTACACCCCCGTTACCCTCCATCAATCAAGAATAAACTCCCCCTTCTTCTCCTCCCATTCCTCCTCCGTAAAGCATTTCTGCGACCAGGCATGCACCGCGGCGATCTCCTCCTTCAGCGCCGCGTTCGCCGCCCGATGTCGCATTAGGGTAGTCTTGCCCTTGAACACGGGTGACCTTGATAATTCTCCATCAGCGCGGCAGCAAGCGGAAGGTGGGAGGGGGTATGGGGGGAGGACACTATGATTGCTTCAAACATTTGACCGCAGCCGCCAGACGTGTCTTTCAAGTGGACGAAGGAGGCGGAGAGTTTGGTCGTTATGGAGGATGTCAGGGTGGCTGGGGTTATGGGGGTGGTCGCATTGGAGGCGGAGGGAGTGGACATTTCTGGCGTTTGGTGGAAGTGAAGTGCAGATTGGAGGCTGGCGTGGGCACGTCGCGGGGATGGATGGGTAGGCTAACGTGCGTGTTACGAATACCGTACTTCGAGTTCACTTTGCGGCATTGTGGGTGGGGTTGGGTGGCTGTGCCCAGTGGTGGTGTTGTGGTGGCTTGGCCGTAGGAATCTGGAATCATGTAAATTTATTGGTTAGATCAGGCGTGGTTTCTCGGTTAGCACCTCGGAAGCGGCAAGCGGCAACTAGAGATCGTTCAGTAACCGAACAGGCCAAAACATACCAAAATTGCTGGTCTCCGAGCCACAATAACTCCAGATATCTTGAAGCATAATATATATTCATTTTGGCCCTTTTTTCCGTTTGTAGAGAACCGCGGGCACATGAACCGGGCAAGGTCGTTTGCACTGTATCATACGAGTTACCTTTTCCCATACAAACCCCTTTGTCTTGGCAGGTATCATACCCCACTACAATGAACATTCCACATCTCACAACTCGGAAGGAAAATATCCCCACACTTTTGCATATGTGCCATTGTATGATAGCAGATAACTTTTGAACCCATTTATATGCCGTTTCAGCCCATGGCGGTTGTGTGGCTATACAGCTCGAAAACAGTCACTTTTGGAGTGTTTTGGCCACGGTCCGGTTATGATACTAAACGACTCCTGTTGAGGTGCAGGTTTGAGTGAGATTCTATGACTGGACTGGAGGAAATTTCTGGCCCTTGATGCGTGAAGACTCAGAAGGTGTGTTGGTCCAACCTTCAGTGCGTAATCCGTTGAGGGGGGGTAATTTTCCCGTCGTGGAGCCACGGATAGAGTTATTACTCATGTCGTGAAGGAAGAATACACTCTCGCTATCATTAACATAGGTCTACTACTAAGGCCCAGGGTCCTTTTCTCAACACTGTACCGGGAGACCGAGCACTGTGCGGTAACCCGCCATTCATGGTGCACCCCGCACACCACACATTTTTTTCCAAGATCTTCAAGTCGCCAGATGGGTTGGGGGACCACCATCTCAGAGCATTAATGACTACACCGGCACGTATGGGGGAAACATCCATCCTCCTGATACTCTCATTACTGGCGGGAAGGCCTCGGGACAAGTTAGTTAGTTAGAAACAGGATATCGGACCTGAATACCATTACTTGTGCCGTCCGCACCAGACTCAAACATTCTGCACGGGTATTCTCCCTAAATGGAACCCGTCCCATTTTGCCAGTGAGGAAACGAGAAATTTACGTTCGTGTTTTAGAAACTGGTCTACCGAGATCACGCCATTTTGTCCCGCGGAGCTATGGAGGGTAAGGTATGTGTTGTCCATATATCCACTCTCAAACCGGCACGGTACCGGTAGCGGTATCTATTTTCTTTCCTCCTTTCTGCTGGTATTGTGCATCGGGATCGTACCTGTACTGGTAAGTGGACACCCACAAAGTAACCGTTGTGACGGTGTCTGTCCCTCCCAACACAAGTTTTGGAAAATGTTCCCGTTCCCCTTGCTGGTCGGTCCACCGGTATTGGAGAAAGGGGTAGAAGAGCGGGGCCGGATTTTAACAACACACATGCCGGTACTCACACAAGAGGGAAAATATGGACAGCTCTTCGTGCACTCTCTCTCTCCCTGTGTGAAGGCGTTTTCTACATAGTGGTGGTGGTAGTGGCAACGGTTGCGGACGTGATATCGGACATCACGATAGCGGCCCAGCGAAGAGGAGAGTATGGTATTCGGGCATAGCAGTATGGTAACTATCATGGATTTCCGCTCTTCGCAATGGGTATATCCGGTCTCGCCCCTGTGGAGTATTCCACCTAGTAAAAAGAGTCAACCCTTTCTTCCACCAGCAACATTTATCACGGCTCCACTGTAGTGAATTTGTTAAAACTCTAGACCATTCGGAGGAAGAGAAGAGAAGAGAAATACGGTACCGGGACCAACGGTTCGCCAAGGAATTGATCTCGTATCATGGTACAGTGCAAGCATCAGGTTTTTTTTTTTTTTTTTTCCCCCTCCCCTCTGGAGCTATGATACCGCATTAGACCTCGGCTCGGTAATAGATAAAAGTGATTTGTCCGTAGAGTACTGTACCGGTACTAGTGCAGTGCAGTAGACGGGACGGGAAGTATGTCCATCCGGCTAACTAGCTAGGTTTTGGAATGCAAAGGGTGATAGGAACTTTCAGCACAGTAAGGCTATATAATCACCGCATCTTGCCACTACCATAGTACCGGTATTACGATACGATACTATAAGTCCATGCCAAGAGCTTCGCGGTTTCCCATCATCACCCTTACGGAAAAACCCCTCTACGTATAGTCTGTGGGTCTTGTAAATACTCTTCTCCTGCTTTTCTCGATCCCGTCTAGAAATAACTCACCACATATCATACTATACTCTCAGCATTATTTGTACGAGTACAAGTACTAGTACGGAACAATAATAAGAGTTCCCATATCAACCCAACCAAAACGAACTAAAAATGAAAACCCCCATCTAGGAGAGTAGTATAATATAATAGTTACCGCAATAGCAAAAAAAAAAAAAAAGTCTACAGAATCCATTTCTCCTACCTACTCATCACCACCCACCTAACTACCGTACGACACATTACCGACATTACGTACGATACAAATACAATATCATACCAACCTTCCGTTACCATAACCTTTTCACCAACGCCCCCCCGTTTGACTGGGCGCAAGATACTTTGTACCATCATATCATACATTTCCCGACACCGTCATAGCTAACCTCCCCCCCTCCGCCTCCCCGGTTACGCCAAGAAATCCACGGTCCCATGTAGCGTTTTACCTTCCGAGCAACTTATATGCAATTTTTCCTTTTCCTTTCTTTTCTTTGCCTTACGGTAGTATCATACTGTACGCCGTGGGAAGCCTTGCATAAATGCTAGAAACTGGGTGTGTGTGGTGGGGGGGACCGGAGGACCGGGATGATATTCAAACAAATTACATGTGCGGAACATCTTTTTTTTCCCTCCGTTTTATTTTTATTTTTATTTTTATTTGCAGATTTTTAAGGTTTTATTGCTTAACCGGGTGAAACTGGGTTTTTCCCTTTTTGTGTGTGTGACTATCATGACAAGGGAGTACAGTGCGAGTATGATACTAGTACAAGTAAGTAAGTGAGGGAGGGAGGGATGTGTCCCGGTTACAAGTACATTTTATAGTGCTGGTATCACAGGAGTTGGTCCGATCGATAGTTGCTTGAAACAGGGATTTGGGGGGGTTTCGGGGTTTTGTGGTCAGGGTTGCGGCCTGGGTTGCTATCATGTTAGTAGGTGGTACAAGTATGCCAAGAAAGAAGGGGTTGTGCTCTTGTTATGGTATGATACAATAGTTCAGCTCGGAGGTTGTTAGTGTAAGCACTGTGCTAGCAGACTACAAGCATCGCGGGTTAGGAGAAGGAAGGTGGATGGGGGAGTTTGGCAGTGGGGTTATGATACTCGTGACTTTACGTGGCAGACTAACTTGACTGGTATCTCCGCCACCATTCTTCGTTCACCGAACAATACCAGTACAAGTATGTATCTCCTAGTATTATTAATGATTACCACGAGAACTCCGGATATTGCGCTGCGCCTAACCTCGCGCCAAGACCTTCAACGTCCGGAATTCCCTATCTTGGATAGGGGGCAAAAATGCTGCTGCGAAAACCGACCTCCCCTCGGCCCCTGCTTAAGCCGAGAGAACAGAAGGGAGGAGCCAGACCTTACCAGCAAAGGCAACTCCAACTGCTCCAGCCATTCCAACCTTCTTAGCGAGGGGTTGTTTTGACTGTCCGAGCTTTCACGATGGTATAGAGCCACAGTATCGCTTTTGTTTGGAAAAGCGCTTAGGACATACCGTACCGGTATCGGTGAACAGCTGGTAACCATCATCCCATATCCCCCTTTCTGTTACGATGGAACCGTTATGCCTGGTTGGAATAACCGGTGCACAAGCGACTCGCATCCATAACGATCGGAGACGGAGTAATGCATTATAGGGCTAGCTGGATGGCTACAGGTACCGTAGCTGGTCCCAACACAAACGCCTGGCACGGGAGAGAGGCCCGCACTTGTTTCTGGAAAGCCTCCCCTTCCCCATCACCGGAAGGTATCACGGCAGGGGTGGGCGTGGGCAGCTAGGTAGGCAGGCAAGCAAGCACAAGTAACGTGCTGGCGTTGACCTCACCCGACGTGAAATCCGCAAGGAAATGTCCCAGCCAAAAACCCTGGGGGGGGGGCGCAGCAGCAGTGGCAGTGATAGCCATTCAATAAGGTTTACATTGCTCGATTCAGTCACTCGTAAACGTTCCGAACCTTTTTGAGAATGAAAAGTCCCCGGTTTCATACCCCTCGCTCAACGCGGGAGTGCCATCGGGTGAACTCTTAACCAACCAACTAATACTCGAGTACGGTACTTGCAGAACTGGCACGAGCACTGTACCGTACCGTTGTTGTAGCTCCCCCTGCCAAGCCGGTGCCCAAATGCTGGCATGCTTGCTCGCTGACTCCACAATCACCCAACAGGGCCGGTAAAGGGTTCTTCAGGGAGTGCTCCGGGGGTGGTGGGGTTCGAGACGTGAGTGTGGAAAGGGGATTAGTCTTCCGAATACTTGTACGAGTATGTAGGAAGTGCCATGGTGCAGCCGGACTTGCATTGAGGGATCTGACATGGGGCTCAAACCGTCGACCAGACGCCAAGATAAATCTTGGCGTTTTAACGTGGTTTGGGGTGAGTGCTTGGTGATGATGCTAGTAGACTTTTCCATCGTGTTTTCTCCCCCCTTCTCCTGCCTTTGGGTGGTGAGGCCAGGGTGCAGCTGTGGAGGACATTGACCTCTGACCTTTGAATGCATGCACTGGAGTGGGGATTATGGGTTACCGTATCGATATCACGAGGGAGAGGAAGCAGAAAGGGGGAGGAACGTGTCCCTGTGGATTCTCTTTGAATAAATACCTGTTCTCTTGCCCCCCAACTTGTTTCTCACTTCTTCACTCCTCCATCACCGTCCTTCTTCGAAGCTTCTTGCTCTTTACATTCTTAGTCCGCCTGTGGCGATTTCGCATTTCGACTTCCCTCTTTATATTTCTTCCGCGCAGTCCGGTACAGCGTTCTTTATATCTTTACATTCTCTAGCCCCGGAGGTTTCAATTCCTTATATCCTAATCTTATTACCGTCACCGACAACATGCGCTTCCTCGCCGTCTCAGCAGTCTTGTTCCTTAACGCTGCGCTTGCCGTGCAAGCTGGTATGTCTTGAATGGAAATTTAGTGCGATATTAGGCTAACTTTTTATCCTCTAGCCCCTCTTGCCCGCGCTCACCACCCAAGAGGCTTTGAACTCATCGCTCGCAACAATGGCCGCGATGGTGGGAATGATGTCGAGATCAACATCGACATTGAGATTGAGATCGAAAACAAGAAGAAGGATTACGAGCGCCGCAGAAAGAGTGACCAGGATGAATTGGACGCCCTCCGAGTCCAGATTGAGATTGAGGTAGATAATGACAGGAGAGAGGAGGAGAAGAGAAGGTATGACGAGAAGAAGAGACAACAGGAAGAGAAGGACAAACAAGAGCAGGCCGAACTGCAGGAGTTGTTGGAGCAACTTCAGGAGCAGGAGGAAGAGAAGAAGGAGCAAGAGGATGAAGAGAGAAGGTTGCAGGAAGAGCTCAAGAAGGCAGAGGAGCTGAGGAAGCAGAACCGTGATAGGTACGACAACAAGGTTTGTTCTCTCTCACTCCATCATACCTTATCGATCAGATTCTAACCCAACCTAGGACGTTGTCGTCGTCGTCATCCAGAACATTGTGATTATAGACTCGCAAGGAATCCCCGCTCCCCCGCAGCCACACACTGTAGCCAAGGTCCTCTACAAGCTGCCGGGCGGCGCTGTCGCCACCGAGACCCAGTATGGTATGTCGCCCCTTACCATCTTTGCCCTACCAATGATGTCCAGAGAGCCTGCTAACAATCATCCTCAATAGCCACGGAATTGGAGGTCGCCACGGTCACCCAAGCACCAGCTAACGCTACCGAGACCGCGGCCATCGATGCCACCACGATAGAGACCACCGATGCCGCTGCCACCGCGACCGCGACTGACGGAGCTGAGGTCACCGAAGGCATCCCACCAACCGAGACCGCTGCCCCCACTGAGGCCCCTACGGCCGCCGAGACGGCCGCCGACGCCACTGCTCTCGCAACTTCTGATGCCGCTACCGCTCCGGTGGGTACCGCTACTGCTCCTGTGGAGACCGCTACTGCTCCGGTGGAAACGGCGCCTGCTCAGACCACCGCCCCCGTTGCCAAGTTCTAGATGTGAGGTTTTATGATTGACGGATAAGCAAGCTATGGTACTGCTGGCACTCTACCCACACACTTAGACGGGGTGATCATTGTCTAACGGTTATGCCCAATTTCCTTCTTCCTTTTTCTTTCTTTTCGCCATCCCTCGCTCCTTCCTGGAAGGTGCTCATCATGTAATTTAATAAATTATTTCATATTATTTCCTTGGCATACCTGACTCAATTCAATTTGTTATTATTTGCAACAGCTTTTTTCCCCGCCCCGCGAAGAGGGGGGAGGAAAGTGCTGTACTAGTACTGTAGTGCTTGACATGATACTTGTGACAGGGTCCCCCAGTAAGTTATGATACCGGTAGGCAGGGTGAAAGAGAATAGACAGGGGAGGGGTTGACTTAAGGTTTCAGACCAAGTTACCAATCGCATGGCAACCGGCAAAGCCGCGGCTTTGTCTTAACATCCCTGCAGCCCAACCTCATCTCACATCTCCCCCCCCCCACAGACAGATATGATACACACGGCCCACCACCACAAACACCACTATTCAACTACCCCACCGACCCCAAAACAATGACCACAACAGCCACAACAGAACTAGCCTTCCCCCTACCACACACACACAGCACTACCGTCCACGTGCACCTGACACTATCAAAGAACCACATCCTCCTCCACCTCACCACCAAAACCCCCGAGACGGCGTCTCAGCCAGCGGCGCTGGGTTCTTTCGTATACGCCCTTCCACCCGTTCGTATTCCCCCGCCTCGCCCACTCCCGACCGGCTCTGGCTAATTTGTTGTTGTTTTGCAGACTGGCAATCATAAGAGCTCCCTCTCAACCGCAATCTACGTGCGCGAGAGCACTCTCGAGACCGCTACTCGCATAGCCAAGATTCTGGCGAAGCGCACGGGGTTGCCGGCATACGTGGGGAATTCCATGAGTTTTGCGAGCGCGGGAATGGGCGGCGGGGGTATGGAGGAGGTGGAGGGGGTCAAGAGGGTCGTGGAGGTTGTTTGTGGGGAGGTGGAGGTGTGGAGGAGGGGTGCTGGGCAGGGGGGTGAGGATGTGGCGGTGGATGGAGAAAGAGGAGGTAGGTAGTGAGGGGTTGAATAATTACGGTTTGGGTGGGGGCTGGCGGATTTGGGATTTGGAATGGAAAAACGAGTACCGTACTATGGCGATGGGGAATGGTATCATAATACAATGGTATCATAATACTTGTGCTGGTGACGTGCCCTTGGAGAAATAATAAGTATCGTGTCCGGTAGGCACTATTACCTGCAGGCTTTCTCAAGACACGGCGGGCGAGTTGGTCTTTGGCGCTTTCGCTTTACAATTTCTTCCCTTTAACCCTTAGAAGTGACTTTGCATTAATGCACTTGCCTCACTGGTTGCCCCCTCCGCCCCCCCCCCCCCACAGACACACTCCCGCACAAAATGTCTCAATGCGCTAACCACTCCTAAAAAAAAAACTGTAGCTCAACTATAGACACAACACTCGTTCGGACGCCCCATACGTTGATCGTTACCGTGAGTTCTTGCCGACAAAGTAAATTTAGTTTAATTTACTCGCCTTTATTCACTTTATTACGCGAGTCCTTTTGTCGCCCAAGTTGCCTCCCCGCGCAAAACCACGAAACCACACTGTTCCGCTGATTCACAGTGACAATTAAATATCGGCCATTCCAACTAAACGAGGGTTACAGTAAAAAACATGGGAAAAAAAAACCCCCCCTAATATCTATTGATTGATTGATTGAACCACGGAAAGCATTGTGGAACCCAACTACCGTACCGGCCCTAGTCCTTGCCCATACCACATATGTATGATCACCGAGGCCGAGGTGGGGTTGTGAGGTATATCAATTTTTGTGATCCGTATCGTATCTGGATGAATGGCTAGAATGGCAGCGAGGTAGTATGGATGAAACCCTTCTTCTCCTATCCAAGGCGGGGTATCAAACTTCCCTGGTTTGCACTGATTGATTGCTTCATCTCTCACTATTTCCTCCCTGTAATTATAGTAACCATCGCCAAGAACCCCCAACTATCTAGTATCCTCGAGTGATTATCCGTGCAGCCAGATTTTTTTGTGATGGGTATGGGTGCGTATGTGGGGACGGGCTGTCGGTTATCCTTAAACTTACTGACTGACTGACTAGGGGTGCTACCGCACCGTGCGCGAGCTTTTGAAGGTATCTTATATCATATGTGCAGCATCCATTTCAACTTTCCCGTTAGGAAACCCTGCCGGAAACGGGGTTTGGAGTGCGGTATGAATTAGCTTGCTTGGTGGATAGGGTAGAGTGGATGAATGAGGGGATTTCTCAAATGCGAGTATGGTACCCGATTTTTGGAAAATGGATCAATCGCTTAATTAGTGCGTGACCTCTGTAAATGGGATCGGATGGACTGTGACGGCTAGCCCAAGGTATGATGCAAACCGGTTGATTGGGGAGGGGGGGGTTTGTTAAATCAAATTGTTTGAGGGTACAACTTCTGTATACAACCACTAGGTCACGACATAAAAACTCAACCAGCCGGTTGTATTGGGAGGTGTTGGGTTTATATATATGATAGAGGGTAGGGCATGCCCTCAATGGAAGTTTCTGCTCTCGTTCATGCGTGTTGAACTCAATGGCTTCAGCTGGTTGATGAGCAGGTCGGTGGCTTTGGTGATTGGGTTCAATGGTAAGCCTAATAATGGGGAAACATCTCTACCGAAGCTCAATGGTTACAAGCTATATCCATTGAACAGCAGAGCGCTGTAAAGTTAAGGGCCCAATTCATCCCTCGGGTGCGCACTCTACCCGCCATTGACAGTTCCGACTGTTCACGGAGCCCCATTCTGATAGCCCTCTGTGCCAAATTTCCCGTATCATATCATAGTATAAAAGCTACAGCATCGCTCTCTTCCTTCCCCCCAATCATCCCGCACACTCACAGCTTTCACCAAGTGTCTATCTCCTCAACTGAACCAAATTTTTTTTTCAATAGTTTCGATTTTTCTCATCTCTTTGATATCAACCATCCACCATGAATACCGGTACTTCCACAATCGCTGCCCCCAGGGACGACAATAACAACACCTCTGTTGCCTGCTTGGGCGCACCGACCGCATGGTTCAATCAGATTACCAGAAGCATCACCGAAACCATGGGCGCCTTCCAAAACCGCTTTGGCGTTATATTCGGCCGCCTTAGTGTCGTCTCCGGCGCCATCTTTAGATCCGGCGGCCCAAGCGGGAGGGAGGGTCGGACGGACTCTTCCAGGACTCTGCGCAGAAGGGCTCTCCGCCGGATCCCGAAAGGTCCGCAGCACCGGAGCATGCGCATTGCAGCACTAGCACGGGGCAAACTGGTTGCTCATTCCACCGGTAAGGGGGGCGGGGGACCTTCTGTGACCTTTCCAGTTCCGAGCACTGCTAGCGGCGGCGCCAGAGCTCAGATTGCGGCGAAGCCTGCCGCCAAAGTCGAGTCCCCGATTCTGAAGCCCAGGGCTGACGCTGGCGTTACCAAGAGGACTATTCGGGAGTATTTGAGGGGCATGTTTGCAAGGAAGGCTAAGGCTAAGGCCAAGTCCGAGATGGAAGAGGCGGAGGAAATAAAAGAGGAGGATCAGGATTTTACCACGATTGGTGCTATCGCGACTATGACCGAGACACAAATTCCGAACCCTTCAACAGCCTATCCCCCATCTCTAAAACTCCCAAACATTGCGATCCATGCCATGACCTCACCTACCATGCCTATGGAGGTAACCACCCCCACGAATGCTGGAAAGGCCCGGCGCACAAGGACCCCCCGCAAGATCCAACAAGGTCCACGTCGCCGGAGTGTGCGCATTCTCGAGTCAGCCCAGAGGTCCAAGCAGGGTAAATTAGCTGCCGGTGCCACCGCCCAGGCGAGCGGCCTTCCTGTTACGGCCGCTCCAACTACCAAGAAGACTAATACGCGGGATCAAATTCCAGCAAAGGTTGTATCCAAGACCAGGTTCCCAGTTCTGAAGCCCAGGGCTGGGGCGGGAGTCACAAAGAGGACCGTTACAGGGACTCCAGGTGGACAGATTGTTTCGGAGGCTGAAACCCAGGCCATGGCGGTGGAGGAGAATATTACGGCCACTACTACTATTGCCGCAACTCCAACTGGGACTCAGGCCCTAGCTTCACCATCGGTCCATAACAAATCTCCGGAACACTCAAACATTGCGACAAACTTCATGCCTGCCTCCATCATGCGCAGGAAACCTGCCACTACCGAAAAACTTACGAGGGCCCCACACACAAAGACCCCCCGCACAAAGACCCCCCACAAGGAACCGCAAGTTCCGCAGCGCCGGAGCATGCGCATTATCGAGTCAGCGCAGAAGTCCACGCAAGATCAGCAAACTGTGGGCTCTGGCGGGGAGGAAGTTGGGGGACATATTTCCGCCGCTTCGGTTGCAGACAAGACTGGAGCGCAGGGCACGAGTGGCTACATTGCGGTGGAGGAGGCTAGTACTAAGGTTAAGGTGGAGAACGAGAGGGAGGAGTCCACGCGAAGATCAGCAAACTAGTGGGCTCCTAGGCGGGGAGAAGTTCGGGGACGTAGTGTTCCGGCCGACTTT